TTTCCGCAATTCTGTTCTTTTCGACCTGAAAATTATTGATCCGAGCTCAGAAGGCCTATACTCTTCTAGTTCAATGCAAAAGACCCGATCTAAAACGCTTTAGGTGAAAAAATTTGCCGAAAAACTATGCTACCTAGACCCCTCCGGATTGATGAATCCACCAAATCAAACACGTAAAGTTCGATTTCTCTGCAACCCTGAAGGCTTTTGGGAAGCGGGTTTTAAGAGTTGTAGATTCACTAGTGGAAGTTGTCCGAACAACTATTCTTACTGTCCTAACTCAAAAATTTCAAAAATTTTTCTGAATTTATAGTGTTCCGTTTTCTCAAAAATCCCGAAAATTCGGTTTTTGGTTCCAAAATAGTTCCAACCACTTCCGAACTAAACTTAACCGGTTCTATCTATTATAGTAGTGCAGTTACGATTTAACACACTAATTTAGCTTTTTTTTCCGTTTCAAAAAATATCGATATCTCAAAAATCGCGATTTGTGGGTGGATCAAAATATCGCTGTTTTGACCCTAAAAACCGGTCTGCTTTCTGTGTTTTTCACTGAAAAACGATATAGGAGTATTAATATAGGCTATATAAGTAATAATATTAGTAATACTATACCCCTCCGGGTTTGTTTAGTATCCGAATTAAGGTGCTTAACTCGGATATTCGGAGTTCGGTGAAGGGTCACTACAGTGCAGCACTGTCGAGCCCCCCACAGATTACTTTGGTGTACATCTTAATTTTTGTACCAAAAGGGATACAAAACTTGTTAACAATACCCAACAGTCGATCGTTGTTGTCGTTGAGCCCCTTCTTGTTGCTCCTTGTACTGCTTGCCGGATCAGTCGTCTCCCAAGATCCTTCCGAATTGAGCGCAAATCAGCTGACCCTTCCGGATTGAGCGCAATTTATCAATAACGTGCTTAAATGCTCAAATATCCTACAGTACAAGCCTCACAAACGGGCCTCAAAATTGATCGTAACAATCCTGACTGATATAAATGCCTGTAACAACAATATATCTATCAACAACAAACGGGGGGGTCGGATCACATCTTGTCTGGGGGGATGATTTCTACTGATTTTTTATTTTTTTTTACTGTTTTTGGTTTTTTCAGTTATTTTTTTTGTTTTTTGTTTTTCTTGGGTACTATACTACTTTTTGTTTGGTTTTTTATATATCTTTAAGTGTTTTTGGTCACGGACCACTCAGGAAATGACGGTACCGCGAATCCCCCCACCCTTCCTGGTTCGTGAATTTTCGGACTTAACTAGGTTAAAAAGCTATTCACGGTAATCCGGATGGCTTCCGCGTTCCAAACTACCCTTCCGCCCCGGCTGTTTAGGCGTATTAAGGGCGTTAATGTGAGCATCCGCTCGGCGCGGAGTGCTCGTTAACGGTTCTGCCGGTCATGATGTTAAAAAAGAATAACAACCAGGAGCGCCATAAAAATATCTATGTAACAGTCGCCCGGAAGATACATATCGACGGAAAACAAAGCTAGGTTCTAAGACGACTGGCCAACGTCTAAACAGAGCTCTACATGTTTTTCACCGTCTCTACCAAGCCAGTACTTTCGGTGGTCTTTCTAACATCGGGTCGACAAAAACGTTACTGCTTTCAGCTTCGGTCAAAACACTCAAATTAACTAGATCACATGCAAAAATAGTGAGCTCATGGCTGGGTCTCAGTATCCCCAGACCACGAGGTCACACCTAAAATCAGGGCTACTACTATTTATTCAATTATTATTGTTTTTGTTCAGTAGATAAAAATCATCATCTCCATCGAAAGGTTAACCGAAAGGTTGGTGGGTCATGCCTACCCAGGAGCGCCATAAAAACATCTATGTAACATTTGCCCGGAAGATACATATCGACGGAAAATAAAGCTAGGTTCTAAGACGACTGGCCATTGTCTAAACAGAGCTCTACATGCTTTTCACCGTCTCTACCAAGCCAGTACTTTCGGTGGTCTTTCTAACATCGGGTCGACAAAAACGTTACTGCTTTCGACTTCGGTCAAAACACTCAAATTAACTAGATTACATGCAGAAATAGTGAGCTCATGGCTGGGTCTCAGTATCCCCAGACCACGAGGTCACTCCTAAAATCAGGGCTACTACTATTTATTGAATTATTATTGTTTTTGTTCAGTAGATAAAAATCATCATCTATATCGAAGATGGTTCAACCCTTTCCCCCAACTCCTAGCTTCTCATCCTAGCAAAATGAATTCAGATGTTAATTAAATTCAATTCAGGACATAATAGGCAAGCTAAAAGTTTGTATAAAAGGCTAAGAGTATCAGTCCCGAGACCCCTCCGGATTCTTGAATCCAGGGAAATAAGACCCTTATCTTCCTTCCGGAAGGCTGTCTTCCACCCTTCACCGTTGTTCGCAACGGCTTTGCAACTATTGTAGCGACACAATAGTTGCAACTCGGAACAGTCTTTGCTACTTCTGCAAATTGTTGTCGTTTTCCAATCACAATTTTCGTCGTTATCGCTATCGCAACTAATGTTGTTGTGTTTTATTTCGGTTTTTTCTCGAAAATGGCCGTTTTTGACGTTTCTAAAAATTGTTACGTCATCAATTCGAATTTTTCAAAATTTAGTAATTTCCAAATCCTTCAGCCTTCCCGATTTGTCCAATCGTTCGAATAACGCTCTTATTCCTTCAAAATCGCCAATTCGGAAGGTTCGCTGCTCAAAACTCGAAATTGCTGCGTTTGCATTTTTTTCCATTCTGGTCGAATGTCACAGTGTTAAGCCGTCTGGTCATCTGCCGTCCTTGTGAAGTAGCCCAACAGGCTCCAAAGTGGATGGGATCTTGGCTGTTTTCAGCGCTTCCTTCACGAGCACGTTGCAGTTGTTGTGCCTGGTGAAACGGTGCTTAATTTTAGGGCATATCAGAGCATGTAACCGATCTGCAGCAGCAAAAAGCCCACATTTGCACTTATGTTGAGCTGTGACTGATGCCCCCAGGCGCAGTGCTGATGCAATGCGAAACTCGTCGTCCGAAAGACTGAGTCCCAGAGGGCGGGATGGTAAAACGTCAATCCAGTCACCTGGTCCTACGGCCCGTGTACCTTGAAGACGAGCAGCTTCTCTTGGCGAAGTGGCGGAGTCGAGAAGGGCGGTGAACTGGCGTTGGAAGATGGGAGAAAACCACCCTTTCTGGTGAACGCTGAGTGTTTGGCTTGTGAAGCTGTGCCCGCTTAGAGACACCCAGTGTCTGGTGGCTTCTGTGAACGAAACATCTGTTGTGACGCAACCGTAGATCATGGTCTTCAGTGTGGCTGTGGCTACGTACGACGAAATGAACGTCGACGAGGAAATACAAGAAGCACTTAGCACGCCGAAATCTCCGTTCTTGGTTGGCATCGAGATTTGTTGTTGAATTCGTTCATTTAGCAAGCAATTGAAGACGCGCGCAAGTTCTGTCGATACGTGCTGGTCGAATTCCTTCATCAGGTCATCGTGCTTGAAAACTGGACTGGCTCGAAGAACATACATCAACTTCGGCATCATGAAACCGTTTTTCATCAGGAAGAAAGCCGCTTGGCTTGGTAGTTGATGGGTGCGTTCTGTCAGTCTCTTGACGTTGTCAAGTTTGGAGTTCACACCTGATTGCTTTCTCACCCAAGCCGGCACCCAGTAAGGTGGTCATCGATGGGTTGACCACTGTAATGTTCGGGAACTTGGCAATGAACTCACTTTCAATGGTTTCTTTGTTCGGACCGAAGGCGGTGATCTCGCACTTCTTGACGTTGATTTGGAGTCCTACGCGCTCAGCATTTTTGCGGAGAACTATGAGGTCTGTAAAAGCTGTCCGCCAGTGGTCTCCGAAAGAAACATAGTCGAGGTAACCAAGCCTCAGTTTACTTACGAGTTCCTTGAGACAAGGGTAGAGGACCAAACAGAAGGCGAAGGTGGCAAGCGGGTCGCCCTGTTAGAAACCTTCAGCTGACTTGACTATGTAATCACCATATAAGAGGAATCTTGACTCATTGTAGTACTTTTTGACAAGCGGAGGATCTCCGGTGCGTGTTCAGCAATGCATTCAAACATTGTGTCCCGTGTGACACTGTTGAAGGAGTTGGAGAAATTGATCTTGACAAATGCTTCGTCCGCGCACGCAGAAGCAATGTACTTTCTGGCAGCGTGTGAGGCGGCTTCGCATCCATTGCGGCTGCCTGCGCCAAGCTGTAATGGCTCGAAAAAAGACTGAAACTTGCGAAGCATTCGTCGAGAAACGTACTTGGCAGTGAGACGTCTCAGTGTTTCTCCAATCGCAATGGGGCGTATGCCTCCGCATTTCTTTGTTAAGGATATCAGTGTGGCGCTTGATAGAACAGGCTTGATGAACTCTGGCAAGTCGTCACGCAAAAACAGTTGCAGAACTCAGTTACTGACGCGACAAGCTGGTTACCTGCTTCGTTCGCTGAAGAGGACATTGCATCTTTCAGATGTTGCATCTTTCCTAATGAAATAACTTGAAAGAATTCAAAGTTTCATAGCTTTAACTGTTTGCTTAGAAAAACTTGAACTTCTCTCGAACCGATGCAGTCGATGAAATAAACTACAATAATTCAAAATTTCATTGCTTTAATAGCTTGCTTGGAATTTTTTTTTGCGAGCCTTTCGTTCTGCAAAAAAACTTGAAAGATATCAAATTTTAATAGCTTGATTAGCTTGCTTAGAAAAAAGTTTTTCAAAGTTGCATAGCTCTATGACCCGATTTGTTCTATGAAACCTAAAGTTTTTCAAAACGATTTACCATATGGCATAACTTGAAAATGTTCAAAATTTCTTTGTTTGGATAGCTTGATCAGAACAACAGCTAATTTTTTGCAAGCCAATTGATTTTTGGAGGCGGGCTTGCTAGTTTATATCAATTCTGAGTAATATTAGCTGAAATTTATTGAAAGTTATCGATTCTGAAAAAGGCTAACTACTTTTGACTGCACTCATCATATATCTGAGTGGCCTATGTAGAATGTTTTTTAGAGATATAGTTTTTGAACTAATTCAGTGAGATGTCACATGAAACAGGCATAGCTCCCGATGAAAAGTTGAAAGAAGAAATAGCGAGGTGTAAAACTTCTGGAGACGTTCGAGTCCTGAAAATTGTTATCAAGAATGAAAAAATGCTGTATGAGATGACATCAAATGTTGAGTCGGATTTCAAAGAAGACTTCAAGACGTTGATTCAAATTGTTGACAATGACTCACCCTGCTATTTACTTCTACGTACCGACATATCAAACAATTATGGCTTCGAATGGGTTCTCATGACTTATGTACCAGTGAGTTCTAAAACGCGAGAAAAAATGTTGTATTCAAGTACGAAGCCGGCAATCAAGCGAGAGTTTGGTGGGAATCAATTGAAGACAGAATACTTTGCCACAGAGAAGTCGGATCTAACTTATGAAAGTTACATGCGAAGCCAGGATAGAAGTGACAGACCTTTTACAGAACAAGAGATAGAGCTTGAAAAAGTTAGAGAAGCTGAGAGACAAGCGATGAGGGGATTGGGTAAGTTAATATAACAAATTTAAAAGGCCGATACTCCAGATTCCTCATTGGCCATTTGTACGCTAGCATTAGCATAACATTACACTAACTTAGTTACTTTCCTGGACAAAATTGAAGCAAATCTGAATAGTCAGCGATTTGTCTACCACCACTTTAAATCTTGAGCAATAATCTTTTGAAATAATAATGAAATGATTAAGCGGAATGTCTATCGATCATTCATATTGCATTATCATGTGATATTCTATAGTTTAAATGAAACATTGTTTTAGGAGATAAAGTGAAGCTGTCATCAAACATATCATTTCCGCCAACTGAAGCCGCTATTGATGCCATTACCAACTTCAAAAACGAAACAGCCAATTTCGCCCAATTTGTCATCAATGGGAAAGAAGAAATAATCGACTGCATTTTGTCGGAGAGAAACGTCTCCATGGATGGAATTGACGGACTTGTACCGCGTGACAGGGCAACTTATAATCTCTATCGAGTGCCAGTGAGTGCCGCAGACGGATTCATCAAGGACCACCCTGTTATTTTCATTCATGGGATATCTAGTAAGTGGTGAGATGATGATTAGGGGTAGTCGATCGTTGTGAATTTTTAAAAACGGTCTTTCAAATTATGCTCAATATGTGCGAAATATTCCTTGTTCTAGGGGCTATCGTAATTGGAAGATTCAGATTTAGGTGTTGCACTTCTAGGCTTTTTTTGAGAAAAGCTGTATTAACCCATGATTCTTGTTGTTTATGGAAAAAATTGATTGCTTTTTCTGGACATCTGGTATAACGAAGCCTTTTATTGAACCATGAGTATCAAACGATTTTTATCAATTTCAGCCGTAAGTTGACTAAAAAAGCAGATTTCAATTTTGAATCATAGCCTTTTAAAATTAAAAAATAATTGAATTACATAAGGGTCCCTCCCGGGTAGTTAAGGTCCGTGCATAAGCTGGATAGGGCCATACCAGCGTTGTATATATATTTTTTTATGTTTTGATCAGTTTAAAACAATAAAGGCCACCCTGATCTTGTTTATACATCCTAACTGTTGTGAAAATTTCTTTTACCTTGTTGCACTGTTAATTGCTTGTATGTTATATTTAGATGCTGGAACAGTGAAAGAGAAGATGCTCTTTTCCAGCTGCAAAAGCACATTCCTCCAAATGTTGTCCAGTGACTCGGTCGGAATATCGATCGACCGTAAAGTAGAAGTAGACATAAATGATGACCAGATCACAGAGCAATTTCTACTCTCTGAAGTAAAAATGAAGGAGCAGGCTGTCAAGAAGACTTTCGAGAAGCCAAAAGCGCCAGGGAGGCAGCGGGCAAATCCAAAAGCTTAATTTATATTTCAAATAAAGTGATAAAATAATAGTTGGTACAAACCGATTAAATTAGTAAATGATATCTTGTCCCACCTAAGACAAATTATGACATAAAGAATTATCAAATTAATTTACACCATTAGTACTCAATTTGTCATGATAATTTTTTCAATTTCTGCAAACTGTTTTCATATTGATTCTAATTCTCCTGCATAAACCCAATCCAAAATTGGATTTTTTACGTAGCTGTTAATGTTGAATTTCTATAATTATTCGAATGTCATCTGTGCCAACTATTTTTTTTATCAGCAACAGATGAATGTAAACTGCTTCACCTTTCATTGCCTTGTCAGACAAATGAAACAATAGAAGAACTGCTTGTGATTTTCACAACAAAAATTAAGCATTGGTAGTTTTTCGAATAGTTTTTTGAATCATGAAGTATCTGTTTCGGTGGCCTAGATGAAATCTGGAAAAAGTGTCCTATCGCTTCTAAAATGGTCTGATTCTTAAAAAAAGATGTCACTCATTAATCATTTAACTACGTTCCTTTGACCCTGGTGCGTCATGAGCAATTATATTGGCTATATTTGAAGTGTCAATCAACGAACTTAAGACACTTATTTAGGTCGTGTTTGATTTTTTTTGTACGGTCTGATCTATGGTTTAAATTTAAATTCAAACTCGGCAAAGTACCCTCTCCAGTCCAAAAATGCAAATGGAGCGAGAAATTATGACTGATTTTTAGTTTTTGTGAGCGCCTAAATCTATCATGATGACGTCTGTAAATTTATTAATATTGTGCGCGTTAATCTCCGCAAATCGAAGAGTTTTCCAATTCAAACAATTGAATTAAAGAGCATTTTCTCGGCAAAATAACTCTAAAACTTCCAATAAATAAAACAACTTTTAAACATACTTTAAGACCGGTAACATAGGGCATAACCGTCTGAATAACTGAAAGTAAGCTCTCAAGCGACCAGTATTTGTCCTTCAGACAAATTGCTCTTTTTGACGGTCAGCCTTAATCAAAGCTGAACCGTATTAGAACAAAAAAAACGGTCAAATGGGCTTATAGCTCCTCGAGTTTACATGTATTAAGGTCTGGGTATGGGGGGGGGCTTCGAACACGGTTGACCGGTGTGAGTGACTTGTGTCATGGCCGCACGGCAATTAATTCTTCTATGTGGAAACAGCACGCTGAACTAATAATTACATCTGTGCTGCAACATCCTCTGCCCCCAAAGAAGGAAAAAAGGGAGCGGGCTTTACGGTCGGGCGGGTCATTTCGCTAGTAACGGTCTCTATGTCGGCGGATTGCGCGCATCTTCCTTGCCGTAGTGCAGTCTAACGATACGTGCGAGTGGGTAGTGTCCACGTGGACTGTCAGGCTCTCTGAGCCAAACCAAGTCGCCAGCTTTAAACTTGAATTCTGATTGGTTGTGCCACTTTGCCTACTGATTGATCTCTAGTCTACCGCTTCTTATGGCCGAAGTTTTCAAGACTTAGCGAGGGAAAACTCAAATAAAGAGCTTTCCTTCAAAAGCAGCGTTGGAACGGCACGGCTTCCTAGCTGCTCCTTTATTGACAATTATGTCTCAAAATTATTTTTACCAGAGTTCCATAGCTCCCTACGTAACCGCCGGACAGAATTCGTAAGCCACGACACTTCTAGTTGCCTGATTATTGACAATAGGGCCTCCAAAATGGGTGCCGGACATCAAGCCGACGGGACTTCAAGCCGAATAGTAAAATTAGGGACTTCAAGCCGAAAATTTTCTCATTAAGTCATGAAATAAGGTTAGTTTGAATACTTTTTCAAGAATTTCTCAATTTCGTGATCTTTATTCGGTAATTATTAGCGTTTTCATAAGATTTAAACCTCCAAATGATGTTTAGGAAAGTTGAAAAATAAAACACGGTTGAAGGTAATTTTCTTGTTCATAATTTATGCATTTCAAAAAACGGCTGATATTATAAACTAATGCCAATCCTAAGTAATTCATTGTCATAAATGACGCGTATTATGGACTAAACTAGCCGAAGATTTTAAAGAAAAAAAACGTTTTACAGATGACAAAATAATGATTTGAGGTGCTTGTAAGGTTTAATTTTCGGCCTGAAGTCCCTTCGGCTTGAAGTCCCGTCGGCTTGTTGTCCTAGACCCCTCCAAAATACCAATACTCAATTTCCACGGGCATTTAAGTGAATGTCAGGCAGCCTTAGTGTGGCACGGCTTCTTAGCTGCCTCTTTACTGACAATTATGTCTCAAAACTACTTTTACCAGTTACATGGGTCCTTACGTCACCAACGAACAGAATTCGTATGGCACGGCCCTTCTAATTGCCTGATTATTAACACTAGGTCCTCCAAAGTAGCAATAATCGATTTCCACGGGCATTTAAGTGAATGTCAGGCAGCCTTAGTCTGGCACGGCTTCCTAGCTGCCTCTTTATCGACAATTATGTCTCAAAATTATTTTTACCACAGTTCCATGGGTCCATACGTCACCAACGAACAGAATTCGCAAGGCACGGCCCTTGTTGTTGCCTGATTATTGACAATGGGGCCTCCAAAATACCAATACTCGATTTCCGCGGGCATTAAATATAGCGTCAGGCAGCCTTAGTATGGCACGGCTTGCTAGCTGCCACTTTTTTGACAATTATGTCCCAAAATGACCTTTACCAGACCTTTATGACCGTTTCTACGCGACTGGCAAGATTTTGGAGGAATGTCAAGGAAGTCCTACCTATAGCACCTGATGTTTCGATGGCAATTGGTTCAAAATGAACAAATGTGTGCAGGTCAGAGTAGAATCGGCGTTTCCTGGTTTCCGCTTGTGAGGCCGGGGTTGAACCAGGCAGGGCCCCTTACTGAACAATGGAGTTCGCTAACCTGCTTACGCATGTGAAGTCCCAAGCAAGGGTTCTACCGACACTCCAGGGAATCAGTGTTAAGCCGTCTGGTCATCTGCCGTCCTTGTGAAGTAGCCCAATAGGCTCCAAAGTGGATGGTATCTTGGCTGTTTTCAGCGCTTCCTTCACGAGCACGTTGCAGTTGTTGTGCCTGGTGAAACGGTGCTTAATTTTAGGGCATATCAGAGCATGTAACCCATCTGCAGCAGCGAAAAGCCCACATTTGCACTTATGTTGAGCTGTGACTGATGCCCCCAGGCGCAGTGCTGATGCAATGCGAAACTCGTCGTCCGAAAGACTGAGTCCCAGAGGGCGGGATGGTAAAACGTCAATCAAGTCACCTGGTCCTACGGCCCGTGTACCTTGAAGACGAGCAGCTTCTCTTGGCGAAGTGGCGGAGTTGAGAAGGGCGGTGAACTGGCGTTGGAAGATGGGAGACAACCACCGTTTCTGGTGAACGCTGAGTGTTTGGCTGGTCAAGCTGTGCCCGCTTAGAGACACCCAGTGTCTGGTGGCGTCTGTGAACGAAACATCTGTTGTGACGCAACCGTAGATCATGGTCTTCAGTGTGGCTGTGGCTACGTACGACGAAATGAACGTCGACGAGGAAATACAAGAAGCACTTAGCACGCCGAAATCTCCGTTCTTGGTTGGCATCGAGATTTGTTGTTGAATTCGTTCATTTAGCAAGCAATTGAAGACGCGCGCAAGTTCTGTCGATACCTGCTGGTCGAATTCCTTCACCAGGTCATCGTGCTTGAAAGCTGGACTGGCTCGAAGAACATACATCAACTTCGGCATCATGAAACAGTTTTTCATCAGGAAGAAAGCCGCTTGGCTTGGTAGTTGATGGGTTGCGTTCTGTCAGTCTCTTGACGGTGTCAAGTTTGGAGTTCACACCTGATTGCTTTCTCACCCAAGCCGGCACCCAGCAAGGTGGTCATCGATGGGTTGACCACTGTAATGTTCGGGAACGTAGCAATGAACTCTCTTTCAATGGTTTCTTTGTTCGGACCGAAGGCGGTGATCTCGCACTTCTTGACGTTGAGTTGGAGTCCTATGCGCTCAGCTTTTTTGCGGAGAACTATGAGGTCTTTGAGAGCTGTCCGCCAGTGGTCTCCGAAAGAAACATCGTCGAGGTAACCAAGCCTCAGTTTACTTACGAGTTCCTTGAGACAAGGGTAGAGGACCAAACAGAAGGCGAAGGTGGCAAGCGGGTCGCCCTGTTAGAAACCTTCAGCTGACTTGACTATGTAATCACCATATAAGAGGAATCTTGACTCATTGTAGTAACTTTTGACAAGCGGAGGATCTCCGGTGCGTGTTCAGCAATGCATTCAAACATTGTATCCCATCTGACACTGTTGAAGGAGTTGGAGAAATCGATCTTGGCGAATGCTTCGTCCGCGCACGCAGAAGCAATGTACTCTCTGGCAGCATGTGAGGCGGCTTCGCATCCATTGCGGCTGCCTGCGCCAAGCTGTAATGGCTCGAAAAAAGACTGAAACTTGCGAAGCATTCGTCGAGAAACGTACTTGGCAGTGAGACGTCTTAGTGTTTCTCCAATCGCAATGGGGCGTATGCCTCCGCATTACGCCCATTGCGAAGTGAACAACAAATCTCGCTGCCAACCAAGGACGGAGGTTTCGGTGTGCTAAGTGCTTCTTCTATTTCCTCGTCGACGTTCATTTCGTCGTACGTAGCCACTGCCACACCGAAGACCAAGATCTACGGTTGCGTCACAACAGATGTTTCGGAGGCATACGCCCCATTGCTGCTAACATTATATAAAACACACTATTTAAAAAGTTTTTTTTATAAGTTTTGGGTCCAATGGGTCCTTTATGTGGCGCCTCAATGTGCGCGCTAATCTCCAAAAATCGAACAAATTTCCAATTCAAGCAGTTGAAATAAAGAGCATTTTTTCGGCAAAATTACTCTAAAAAATCTATAAATAAAACGTTTTTTAAACATACTTTAACATCGGGCGTAACCGTCTGAATAACTCAAAGCAAGCTCTCAAGCGACAAAATTTGTCCTTGAATCAAATTTTTCTCTTTGAAGGTCAGCCTTAATCAAGGCTGAAGTGTATTAGAACGAAAAAAAAACGGTCAAATAGGATTATAGCTCTCGAGTTTGAATTTTTTAAGGTCTGGCTATGGGGGGGTTCGAACACAGTTGATCAGCGTGAGAGACTAGTCTCTTGACTGCACGGCATTTAGTTCTTATTTGCAGAAATAGCACGCTGACCTAATATTTACATTTGCGCTTCAACAAATATAATTGGTACAATTTTGAAAAAAAAACGGAAAAAAAATGTGAATCACTGAGTAACAATTGATTTTGATTTCAACATTTGCTTAAGTTGAGAAAGCCGAATTTTTGTAGAGAAAAAACAGTCGTTTAGAAGTCAATGCCCAATGCTAACATGTAATTAAGATGAGGTCCAACTGTAGATCAGTCATAGCATCTGACCTAAGCATTCCTCAGTTGAAAAACGCCTGATCGAATACACGAAACGTACAATAATATTCTAAAATAGTTAAAAGTCTAAAAATTTGACTACACTAAATAATGATACCCAAAGAGAACAGGTACTTTATATATAGTGAGATCATGGAAGATGTTTACTAGCCAGATTTGATTAGTTGATGGCAGTAGAACGAGTTGTTGACAAAACACAGACTAGAAACCTCAGGATCACTGAAATAGAAGATTGCGCCAGTATCTGTTTCCAACAGTGTTGCGTACAGTGACTACAGCTAAACACAGATAAAACCACAGTGTTTGATCCACTCTTAGGGAACGCTGCTTTGGTTTGTTGATGATCCGATGCCAGCTTAGATTCAACTTAAAGAAAACAAATGTCAAAAACAGTATTTATGAACGTTCAGAGCATAATTTTGATGAACTCAGTGATTTGATGAAGGCTGATTTGATGAAAATGAAACTAATCAGTTGGCATTATTAGGCCCAACCAATCTAAATTTCATCAGGTGCTTTGGTAGATATGATTAGTGCAAGGTTTTTTAGTCTGCCAAGACGAGACATAGAAAGCACTGACAGTTTTTTTTTCGACCCGTCAACTTTAATTACTTCAACTTAAAGTTGTTGCTTATGACAACTGAAAAGATGGTATAAGCACAAGTTTCAGTCAAAATCTTAGAAGAGGAACAATTTCGCTCGGTTTGAACAGATCTTCCAAGGACATTGGAGTAGCTGCGTTAACAGGTCCACAGCAAATAATTTTCTCCAGTTACATCTATGGCATGATACGCTAAGATTGTACCAGGAACTGACAGTAGTGACAATAGCAACTGTTCCTAACAGTCGAACCGTATTAACGGGACACTTCTGCAATCCCCAAACCCAGGAAGTGCAGATAATAAAACATCTTCGACTCGGGGCCAAAAGATATACCAGAAGTATCTATGGTGAATTTGAAAAGAAAAGCGCAACAAGCTTTTCCAGCCGTAGCTCCAATGGTGTAAAAGCAGATGACGAAGCAGTAGATAAAGTCCGATTCAATATAGAAACGGGTGAGCGACAAAAAGAATTGATGTCAATGATCACTTTGACATCAGCTATGTTCATAAAAGGAATGCGAGGATATGGTTGCGATCTCAACTAATTGAGCAACAACTAGCAGTTTAAAGTCATGAGCTTCGCAACCTGGCTCGCGTAACAGCTTACCCATTTTTTTTCTAGATACAGTAGTAGAAAATGATATACAAATTTATGTTTTTAATCACGAAAATGCCTGTTTTGTGGACATTTTTTGTCAATAATGGCTAAAAAAAATCAGCGGTTGGTTTTAAGGGCTTATGAGTTACCGCCCGTGCGTCACGTTTTTTCATAGAGCCTGTGTTTTTTACGAATAAGGGAATTAAAAATAGATGTTTTAGTTTATTCCATTTGCAATTTTCTCAAGATAGAAATTCGACTTAATCAGTGTAAAAAATTTCCTGAAGCCTTCGTTCGTTTGTGTGACAATTCGATCAACGGTAGGAAATTTTGATTCGCACATGGTATGGGGCATTGATCTAAGTTGAAGCAATAGTCTATAATACTTTCTATTGATCTATTTTTACACTAATTTGAGGTTACATGTTCGAATGAATCACCCTGCTTCTGCTTTCTGGTAAATACTGAAATGATCATTGTTGATTAGCGATGTTGAATTTTTATCAATTGCCCTGTAAAATGTAAATTTGATATAATCAGGTATAATAAACGCGAATAAATTATTTTGTTCATTTTTTTGTTCTCAAATCTATTTTTGTCAACCAACAGACAGTTTGAGAATGTCTGCATTTTAAATACCCATTCTGCTCGAAGTTTTTCGTTAGTTGTAAATGTACGATCAACGATTCGGTATAACTTCCGTTTTTCTTTTTTTTTTGTGTTTAGTGGCATCATATTGCGTCGTTTGATGAGCGGAAAAAAGTTTCCTTTTGGTGTGCTTTTGAGCGGGGACGGGGAAATTTGATGTGTGCAAAAGTTTAATTTAAACAATTTTCCGATTAAACGGGTGTCTTCTCACGAATTGTCGGCTTTGTTGCCGCTTCATAATTTTTGTTAAGATGCTAGTTTAACGTTCAATTCTCTTTCTCGCCTTGCTGGCTCAAAATGAACTTTGTTCGAGACCAGTCGCGACATGAAAATGTTGGTAGATCGTTCTTTTGTATTTGATTTTTTTTCTGTTTTCGTCTCATTTTCTGTTGGCTAGTTTGTCATACTATGCTGGTGTGGTCTGTCATTTGGCGCGAAGTTCAGTTTCGCCTCTGTCATTTTTCAATGTGTGCCGTCAAGCTTCACAAAAGTGACAGAGTCGAAACTGAACTTCGCGCCAAGTGACAGATCAAAAGCATGCTTAGGAAAGTTTACTTAAGCTGGTGATCGTCATAATTTTCGTTTGTTAGGCTGTAAAGTATTCGTTTCTTTTAGAGGTAAAAGAATATTTTAGATTTAATGGGCCTCAACATCCTCAAATAGTTGTAGTACAATGGCCCTGAGTAATGGATCAGGTAGTGCCTCTATGGCCCCGCCGAGTGGCAGCAAGAGTATGGTGCACTACGACAAGACGGGCGTGTTTGTGAGATTCGAATATGCTTCGGAGGAGTTTCCTGAAGATGATTCTTACGTGAGAGGAGCAGTGACTATCACAGAACAATATGTGGTAATACGAATGCGTTTTTTACTTGCATGACAATCTCAACGACATCAATGTAGTGTTTTTTTTTTTCAATTTTGGCTTTCTAAACTGCGCCGGCTGCTCATTAAAATTCAACCGACTACTTTTGTTTGTTTTTTTCCGGATTTGTTTTGTACTTGGCTTCAGAAAACGAGTCGTGGATCCAGGAAGAGCCGTTGGATCCTGAGCTGGTCCCCGAGACAAGAGGATGAAGACTGGCTGATGATCCAGTCCATGATTGGAGGGAGCAACACCAACGGTACTGGCAGTGTGCAGTTCAACAAGGGAGACCAATCGGCTTCAGTAGACCCGAAAACGTCGCCCGCATCAAATGGCTAGTTCAAATACTTTTTGTTTGTGTCTGTATTTAAGTGATATTTAAGTCTAACGTCTGTCTATACGGGAGCAGATCTCGGACCCTCCCGATTGGGAGCGAGGGAGAAAGAGAGGGTACGGATTTTCTAAAACTTTATTGATATTCTCAAAAGCACTATAAAGACCCTCTTGTGTTTGAAAAACCTGCTTTCGGCATAATTACTGAGAAAAAGTACCAAAAATATTTCAGCTGTTCTAAGGTTTTTGCCAAACATTTTTTGGAGCTCGCTAACTCTAGCAATCAGGGGGAGGGGGAGGGGGGAAGGTCCCCATTAGGGATTCGACCCCCTGCCGATCTAAAGGGTCTCCCTTTGTACTATTTTGAGATATCCATTTTAGGCTGACCGGGGTCTTTATAGTGATTTGAGAGAGCTCAGAAAATCAATTTGGTCGACCTAAAAAAGTCGACAGTTTTCGAAATTTTTTTAGAACCTGCCCCCCTCGAGAAAATCCTAGATCCCCCCTGCTAATAATATTTTTGGCCTTGAGGTAACTCCGTCGCTTTTGCACCCTTAAGTCTGTCTTCGATTCTCAACCGGACCTTGCTTTTTCAGTATGCATGCAATTGAATTTTTTTTCGAAAATTGAATTGTCGGAATTTCGTTTGTCTGCTCAAGTTTTGTCGGCATCACGACGTCAAATTTTGCCTCGTCGCGGATTTTACTTGTGGTGTAAGCAAACTTGTTTTGTAGTTGCAAGTGTTGTTCATTCTATTTTCAGGGGGGCTTGAAGCGTATTTTTTTTTCCGTAAAATCATTTTTTTCTGGCTTAACTGATGTCTGCACAAATATTGTTGGCTTAATTGCCACATCTTGGATTTTTCTTGTGCTTGAGTTACTTTTATTTCAAGTGCAAGTGTTGTTCATTCTAGTTTCAGGGGCCTTTAAACTTTAAAAAAGAATTTGTTAAGTTTTTTCTTGGCTGAACTTGTGTCTGCAGAAAGATTGTCGGCTTCGGTATCAAAGATTGTCGGCTTAGTTGCCACAACATGGATTTTTCTAGTGGTTAAGCAACTTTCATTGTAGCTGCAAGTGGGTACAAGTGTTGTTCCTGTAGTTTCAGGCAGGGCTTAAAACGAAAAAACACATTCGACTCAACTTGTGTCTGCTGAAAGATTTTCGGCTTGAAGTGGGAGTTAAAAGTTTTTGGTAAAATGATATTTTTTTCCGCCTCAACTGGTCTGCTCAAAGATTGTCGGCTTAGTTGCCACAACACGGATTTTTCTAGTGCTTAAGCAACTTTCATTGTAGCTGCAAGTGCGTGCAAGTGTTGTTCCTGTGGTTTCAAGTGGGGCTTGAAACAAAACAAAAAAAAAATTTTCGACTCAACTTGTGTCTGCTGAAAGATCTTCGGCTTTGTTTCCTTTTCATAAGTGTTGTTCCGTGGCTAATTTATTATTCTCATTTCTGGCGTGTTTGGCTTGAATGAACTTCTAGCGGGACAAACGAAAGTTTTTCATTTTTTTCGACTTGTGTTTTCTATGTTTGTGTTGTATCGCAAGTAGTGCGAAACTCAGCTTTACCTCTTTGATATATCTTACCACCGAAGGCGTCTGTGGAACATGTTGCATTTGTTTGACCATAAATAAATGCCGTAAAATAATGTCGATGGGAGACCCTGTGAGGTTCAAAGGTTCGAATCTGAGTTTTCATTCATTGTGGTATCTAAAATTACCGAATTTAACGATTTCGAATTGGTGCAACTTTTTTTGCTCTGCGAGTTTTAAGGCACATAAACTGAATAGACTTGTGTTAGTTCAATAAAAGATGAACTTTCATGGCCCATATTCCAATCCAATCTACTGTTCCCTTAAATAAAATGGTTTTTCATATATTAATGCTTAATTGCGTTCATGGTGATGCGATTTCATAATCTTTTCAGGTAGTGGTGGGCCAAACACTGAATCTTCTACTCAGTCCAAGGCTTCCAAAGTGTCTTTCCAGATAGATGTGGAGCAGGTGGCCGAAATCAGGAAAGTGAATCCAGGAGTTGGCTACCCTGTGCTAGCCTTGTTTGGCGAAGATGCGGATCAGCCTGTATGTCCTCTCCTGGAGTTCCATGACCGAGGCGTGAAAGAGTTTTTTGGAGTGCTGAAGAAATTCATGTCTATTAAGAAGTGGGTTTATTGAGAGTTACAAATCATAAATAAATTGTCGCTTAGTATTGAAAATATCTCATTTTTGAATAATTTAGTGTCAATTTCTTACAATGGTGTCCAGTTGCTATTCAATAATTTTGTGCTGCACCCTCGATAAACCAACAACGCTGAAGTTGTTGAATATGATATCATATTTTGTTAAATACCATAAAGAATTATCAGATGGGTTTCGTTCATTTACTTGACACTATATATGATTTTTCAAAACTCTGGGGGGGAGGACTATGCGTATGGTAGAATAGTATGGGGTAGATTGACTAAGGGTGATTGGTATTAATGAAATATGGTAGAGTGGAATATGATATTTTCCCCGACTCCTGTTGGATCATTTTCAGAAATCATTTTCAACTCAATCTTCAAGCTGATGTTTATTTTACTAATGCGTTTATTGTCCGTTTTCCCATTGTCGAGGGGTTGGACATCCGTAAAGCGCATAAGCAATGGTTAAGATGAGGGCATTCTGAATAGCATTCAAGCTATTGAATGGAGTTGTTGAACTGAGACCCCACCTTCAAGCGGCATGGCATCACTGTTGTCATTGTTTAGGTCTAAGCAGGATGACAACGTGTGGTACTTGGCTCCGAGGGGACACGATTGGAGTCAGTCTCTGAGTGCACTAAACATGGGATTCCCAGACCCCACCTATGTCGCAGTGAGTGTTCAGAATTGTAATAGGCCAAAGTTGTGGAATGTTTGGGGGCAAGAAGCCAAACCGGAAATTTTACAGATGATACAAATTTGCGCATAAATCATATCTGATAAATTAGGCACTTTGGCGCTACCAAATTGACAGAGTTTTTAATTTTGTACATTCAGATCTCGTCATGAAACTCGTAGATAAGCTTCTAAGCATTGCGAAAGTAGTTCAGACTCTTATGTAGGAAGTAATGATTTTTTTCCGTTTTTTTTTTTCAAGAAACGAAAGAAGAGCTTTCATCCTTATTAATGCACACAGTGGCGGATTTAGGATTTCTTAAGGGGGGATTTTTAAAATTTTGTCGCCCTTTTTTTTTAGCTCGATCAAATTGATTTTTCAAGCGCTCCCGAAGCAATTTAAAAACCCTATTTTAACCAAAATTTTGTGCGCAGGCAAATTTTTGGGGAAAAATGCGATTTTTGGCGCGCGCTCCTTCAAATTAATTTTCGTTGGTCGGCCTAAAATGGATGTCAAAAATTAATAACAAAGGGGAACCTTTAGTTGGCGTGGCGAGGTGGTCGAATCCCTGAAGAAAAGTGGATGTCAAAAATTAATAACAAAGGGGAACCTTTAGTTGGCGTGGCGAGGTGGTCGAATCCCTGAAGAAAAGTGGTGGTCGAATCCCCCCCCCCCCCACTAAACCCGCTCCTAAATGCACTTATGAATGAATTTAGTTATATATGCACTTTTTAAATTCAATTAAGAATTTTAATTCTCAGATTCTTCAGCTTTGTTATATGTTTTGTTGGCGAACGTCTTCTCAGCTATCAACTTTCTGTACTGTCTGTCTGTAATACTTTTGCGGGTTTTCTATAAAATTTGACAAATCTAAAAAATTTAAAAGTAGGCTTTTCCGTATTGCTGTGAAAAAAAATGTAGTTTGAATATAACTTATAATAGTATAAAGCGACTATCGTATAACGTATAATCGTATATTTTGGGTTCCGTATAAAAAACGTATAATCGTATTACTTGAGACCAAAATCCTACCTCAATTACAGATATCGATCAATGTTTTTAGATTGTTTTTGCTCGATAGCTTTTTTTTGCCAAAAAAATCTCTGATTGCTATCAAGAAATTTTTTATGTTGGGCTTGTGTCGGCCCTAATATCAATCAATCCTGCAGTATTCAATGAAAAAACCATTGTTTCAAAAAAAGGGTTGCCAGTTATCGGTTTCGTGTAATCGTATAATTTATCGTATAAATCTTATTCCTCGTATAATCTTATATCGTATAAGGGGTTTTTTTCGTATAATTTGTCGTATATCTTATGTGGCATGTGTGCAAAACACTGGAAATTGGTCAAGAGGTTGTTTCCTTCACTATTTTCGTTTTAATTATGAGTGGCTAAAATAGGAAAGAAAAATCAAGATTCGCAATCCTTAAATACCGATTGAACAACAGTGTTTCTGTTCTCAGGGCGTGCACTCGGGAGGTGCGTATGACATGACTGTGGATGGACTGAGTCGAGTGAAGAACTACGTGTTCGACAACCTCCTTCACCAGAAGAAACTGAAGAAGACCAGACCGAAAGAGGTAAGTAGTAGTGCTGTCATAATACAATAGATGGCACAATCTTCAAACCAATCCATTTCAACACTAGTTATACTAGCTGGGAATTTTAGTTTTAGTAGAATCAGTCTATTTAACAAGTGGAGCGTGAACGAGTCTATGTTTTTGTTCGGTGAAACCTCTTTTTTGGTCTATTTTTGTTAAAACTTGAAATATTGAGCACCCTGTTGATGGCTCGAAATATATCATAATTAATGTACCTTGTGTTAATCAGGAGTGTGTGGGAGAGGAAGAGGATATAAGCGAGGAGGGTACAGCTGCTCTAGCGGCCGAGAGATTCGGAATCAACAACAGACTGGAGCCAGGATACGACATGATCACATGTGTAAGTACACAATAATTTTACGAATTCTCAACTCAAAACTGAGGCACCATGTGACGAATTGATCACTGGAACTGGCTTTTTTCAGGTCTCAGTTGGGGATCGTCCTCAGATGAAACAGGAACGTGCCCACCCTATTGACGAGCTAGAGTACTCTCACATGATAGATGTTCACGGACGAATCACAGACCCGGATGCATTTCTAAACCGAGTGTTTCAGGGGGTGAGTTCTTATTGATGCTTAACTTGGTTAGTTAAACTTCGCTTTAAGAGTAAGTCAATGAAAAAAGTCAATAGTTGGAATTGAGAAAATGCTTTATGTTCCGATAAAGACAAGTAATTTTAAAAAGTGTTTTTTTTCAAACGTTTTTTTTTTGCTGGTGAATGCGAAGCCGCTTGTCATAGGAGGTTCAAAAAATTTTTATACAAATGATTAAGAAAAAAAAAGAGGAACAGAAATGAAAGTGAAGAAGAGCACTGTCTTCGGGTGTTTCTTTTCTTTTTATTTTTTTTTGTTATCCGCGCATAATCGGCACTACAAACAATCATCGGAATGTCATTTACAAACAATGATTGTCATATTAAAACATTTTCACGCGTGATTCGGATGACATTTGAAAAAAAACCGGTGTCGAGAATAAAACTGGTTTGAAATTTTGGGTTTTTATCTAATTTCGAGCGAATAAAGCAATCGAGAAGGTCTATAATAGGGTTACAAGTTAAGCTGTAAAACCGTGGTTTTACTACAGCAAAATTAGTTTTTGAAGTTTAAGCGCATTCTTGTTTTTTTTGTCTTCTTATCACTTTTTGAAGAAAGCTGTTGTCGGATATGCCGAATTTATATTTAAGTATCAAATATGCCTGAATTTTAGGCTTTGGGTCAGATCCTCTTATCACACCCCGAACAATAAACGACACAATTTGAAAAAAAAGATACTAATGTGGTCGGAACTTTCTGTGTTAGTTGACCAGCAACTGACTGTCATTGTTTTGATCAAGCGTTCATCTAAGTAGCTTGGTTTCAGGGAATCATTCCAGCTTTGAGACCTACGCTATGGAAATACTTGTTGGGTTACTACTCGTACAAGAATACTCTGGAGCAGAATTTCCAACATCACAAGCAAAAGGAGTAAGTGAGCTATCAAAAAATGCAAATCTGACAATTTGGGGCTCGTTCCTATCAAATTCATCCAAGCTAGTTTATAGAAAGCGTAGCCCACCACTCTGATAAAGTAGGGGGGGGGGGGCTGAAATGGAGATACCCATACTGTGGTTCTTTTAAAAGAAACAAAACAAAATGTCCATTAAATAATAGCCGAAACGAAACTAATGTTGAATTGTGATGAAGAAACTTAGGCCTTACTCTTCACCTGTTCGTTATTGTTTTCTTTCAACAGTCAGTTTAGGCCAAATTTTTTACTTCAACGAAGTGCTCAAAAAAGTAGATCGATTTTTTCAAAGTCCGCCCACTTCCTCCCATTCGCCAAAAAAATCTGTTCCTTTACCTAATGATCTCGTATTGAACGGCTTGTTTTTATAAATTTGAACACAAGTTTCTAAGATAAAATTGTTGTTTTTCAGAGATGAGTATTTCCGGATGAAGCTGCAATGGAAAACGCTCTCTCAAGAACAGCTTAAAAATTTCTCCAATCTTCGCGAAAAACGAGCACTCATCGGTAAGAACAGGTCATGCAAAAATTGGAACTTGAAATCATAAATGATGTTGCAACCGGGTTCTAGACTCTTCGCGTTCGAAACTGTTAACAATTTGGCTCTCCTTTTGTATTTATAGCATGTGACGTTACTGAGAATAGTGGTGTAATGACAAATACGACTGTAATTGTAGCTCAAACATGCTCTATAATTGCCTGTTTACAGGTCCAACTGATTTGGCACAGCCGAGCCGAATTTCTAATGTTTAACAGCCATTTTTATGATTTTTGACTTGAATTCTAATTGGCTTGAATGGGTTTAAATTGTTTCTCAATAATCATGCTTTGCATTTCAAAAAGACTTTCCTTGGCTGCTATTTGATTTGTTTGGTAACGATTGTGCGGTGACGATCAGGCTCTTGCAAACATCATGTGCTCAAATTGAGAATTTGGGGGGCTGAAGAATTGGAAATTTTTGCTAAATTTTGTGAATGAATTAATGGTATTTAATGGTTTATTATTGTAAAGGTCTTTGCTTTACCCTTAATTTTCTGTGTTTTGGTTTATAATGTCTTTGGACTCCGTCGAAGTAATTTTCATTTTATTTCAAAATGGTAGTCAAAAGTTCATTTTTGGAAAATTCCAAAGGGGGATTATTATCCGGATCTATTTTTTTGGGGGATTGTATCCGGATCCACTTAATAATACCGCCCCTCCCCTTTCAAGCAACTAACTTTGCTAAATTTTCGACCAATCAGAAATTATAATGCTCTAATTAGCAACAGTTGTTGCAATGATTATACAAACAGTTCTGATTGAGAGGGGTGTTTTTTTTAGTAGTTAAGGTGGTATATAAACCAGTCGCAGTATGAACCGCAACTTTTTAGTAACAGTAATGTAACGATTACGAAAGTCGTGCTAAATCCATCCAAATGACATCACTTCTGTCTGGTTAATATGCTCTGCGCATTTTCTGCTCAAAATAATTACTTGGTTTGATTCGGCATGCATCAGTTTGATTTTTAAATGCAAATGTGAGAAATCAAGCTTAATTCTAATTGGGCTAATAGCCGCGCATACTAAGCGGTACGCATGCAAGTAGGCGGTTCCCCGTTTAATTGATATATAATCTGTAGATTTTTACGTGTTTAATGCAGTAAGTAGTTGTTAACTCCTTTCATTGCGAAAAGTGCAGCTTGTGTTAAAGTACGAGTCTTTTTGTTCCAATATATATGGCGCACTTCATTGCGTAATGTTTATTGAATTTTGTTTCTGCGAATCATTCCGAATTTCGCGAAATGACGTGAATATTTTGACTAGCGAGCTTAGTGCAATAGTACGACTTTTTGGGAGTGGATGAATGTAGGAACGTAGTTCATACTCTTATGTAGGTTGCGATGTTTTTTGCGGTTTTTTCAGCAAAAATCTTAAAATTTGTTCAGGCTCAAATTTACTTTTCGACATTTGATTTTTTATTTCGTTTCAAGTTTCATTTCATTTCCTTTGTTAAAATGAAAGCGAACTCCACTATCGAACAGTAAAAGTGTAAAGGTCACGAAAAACGTTATCGACTTCTAGTTTCGAAAGTGGAATTTATTTTTCAGATTTCCCAGCAAAATAAAAATTTTACCTTATGATCCTATTTTCTCAAATTGGGTTGATTTTATCAAAAAAAGTGCCAATCATAAATTGTTGCAGAGATTTTAAGAGCTTTAAACGCATCTATTTTTTTTTCAATTCGAAAGTTTCTGAAAGGTTTTTTCATAAAACAAACCAGTTTTTTTTTCTGTTTATTTGCGTTCGTTGGCTCATTGCTAACTCTCTGTTGGCTATGTTTTTTTTTTCAACCGAAGTCACAAATATTGGTGCCAGTTTTAGGTCTGCGGTATTTGGTAGCGTGTGCTTTGACATTCGACGAGTAATAAGTTAACAGTTGATGCATTTTTGATTCATCAAATGAACCGATAAAAGCTATTTGTTTTAAACAACATTGCAAAAAGAAAAACTCACTTTCAGAAAGTTTTCTAATCAAGATATCGGGCATTTTAAAAAAATGCATAGTTTTTAATAGTTTCGCTTACTGTTTTGCATTTTTTACATGCAAAGTTAGTTTGGGCGCCTTTAGTTAGTATACTCCAAATTAGTATATGCAAAATTTGGTAATATTTATATTTAGTGCCGCTTTTGCTGTATAGAATTGGCAGTTTCTTAGCATATGTAGCTGGTTTGTTTGAGGCTAGTGTTAATGAAATGTCAAGGGCCCGTGGCCCAGATGCGAGGACAGGGGACTCTAAATCGCCTGGTCGTAGGATCGAATCCGTCAAAGCAGAATATTTAATTCTAAAGGCTTTTTCTTACCTTTTCTTTATTTCTTTTTATAGAGCTGCTCTTTTCTTCATTTCCTCGCTAGTGTCTGCGACGAGCAGCTTCGCCTCTGTAATGATTGTTTTTTTTGTATCCGGAAGTTTTGACTTAACAATTCTTAGACGAGTTTTAATTTTTTTGTCATCAAGGTATTGACGTGCTGAGCTGAAATTCAAAAGAATATTTTTCCTAAATATATGGAGTTTGAAAATTGCCAATTTGGGATAATGAATGTGCTGCTTATACCATTGTTTTGTCATCGCGTAGTGTGTACGGCGAATTAAACATTCTCTAATAGAACTGTGGCAGCTTATTTGTTCCAAATAAATTGTTACTAGATGAGAAATAATATATCAATTGACATTTCAAAATTTTAATTAAAAAAAATTTGTATTTCAAAAAATAAATTCGTTAATAATAGAAAAAAGACTGTTCGTATCCTTTAAGGTATCTGCGGACGTTATTTTTTGAAATTCGTCGTTACATCTTGTCATTTTTTTTCACTTCATCAGCGGAGTAATATTCGTTTAACTCTGGCGCAATCACTGCGTTGTGTTTATTAGTATAGCTTAAGTGAAAGTACGAGAGTTGTAAGACTCAGTGGTCTAGTTGTAATGTGCTTTTTTACGTAGTTGCAGATTCTCCTCGGTGTGCGAAGCTATTTTTTCAAGCTGTGTTTTCTGCTGATGCTTTTTTTTCGTTTTTGTTTAAGAGTCATGAACTTAGTGAATACTCTCATATAGGTCTTGGCGATTTTTTGTTTTTTCAAGAAAAGTTTTGAAAATTGTTTGCGCTAAAATTTGATTTTGAGCGGTTTGACTTATGATTCCTTTTCAAGGAAGGCAAACAACCAACGAAAGTTTTTATCGTCCTGCTTTGTAAAGCATGGGTTTAATTTAGGTTTCAATTATGTTTTTACTATAATTGAAAGTTCTGTAATTTGTCATTTTATTTGATTTTGTTTAATTTTTTTTCCCAATTAAACGGTTTCCTATTCGATAAAGTGACTCTTTTCCTACTTTCTGTTGGCCATGTTTTTCCTAATACTCCAACTCGCCGTTTTTTGCTTCTGTTCAAAACTCAGCTTCGCCTTTGTATAAAACTTTGCGATGTGTTTTTAGCTAGATTTCAGAATTGGATGCACTAGTAACCTTTTTAAAAAGAACTAGGCAAACAATCTTAAAACATTTTTTTATTACCCTCGCGATAAGCAAGGTTTTTGCGATTGGATACAAGACTTTTTTCTCGTAAATAAGTTTGTTCACAGAATGGTCAGTTTTACAGGAATGGTAAATTTCAATAAGCTTAATTTCTGAAAACTCTAATAAAAATACCTCATCTAGGTAAGTTTTGGGGCTTAATTGTTTTTTTTTCGAATTAATATGTTGAAAAATGTGGAATTTATTTTTGGATTCCTGAACTTCGGTCCAGTTTCCGTCGGTTCATTTTCTTTTTCATTTACATATATCTGCTTCTAATTATTATCCTCCTGATTTGTAAAGTATGAGTTTTATTGTGGTTTCAATTATGATTTTACTATAATTGAAAGTTCTGTAATTTCTCATGTTTGATTTTGTTTAATTTTGTTTTTTTTTATTAAACGGTTTCCTGTTCGATAAAATCAGTTATTATGAAAATTTGTGGGATTGGGTTTATTATTTTTACTTTTTTTGAGACGCTTTCAATTTTTTTTTGTTCCGCAAAATTTTTATTTTAGTAGAAAACTACTCTTTCTATAAAAGAAATCAATGGAAAAACGGCCCGTTTGTGTCTCTGGATAATCCCCTAGTATTTTTTTTTACCGTAATGTATCGAAAACGTCTATTGGGGAAATACCCATAATTTTTATTCTTTTTCGTTTTGTAAAAAACTACTCTCCCAAATCTAAAAAACTACTCAAAACAACAGGTTGTGTGAATCTGTAGAAGCGGCTGCACCCGAAAATTGTTACACAAAGGTATGATTCTCGAAAAAGTGAAAAAGTCAAATTACTACCCTGCCCTTTTTTAAATTAAGTGTTCAATCAATCGAGAAAGCTGGTTTTGAGAGTGTTCTCTGCTTAAGCGGCAACGACCTTCGTTTTGCAGAAAAACGTTACGGATTTCGGAAAGTCAAGTTTTTGAGTATTATTCAATTTCTATTAACTGTCAACAACTGACGGCGCTCAAAATGATTTTCAATTCGGGTATGTGAAATTGCATAATTCGGTATGAAAATCACATAAAAGCCAGTGGCCCGCGCAGAAATTTTTGTCGGTGACTCGACTGAAAAACTTAAATGACCATTTTAGCTAAGTTTTCTGCTAAGAGGGCACTTAGTGGGAGCGGGATGAAAGTAACGTTTTTGAGCACTTATAGAAAGGCTTAAAAAATTACATTTTATTTTCAGAGAAGGACGTAATTCGAACAGACAGGTGTGATTCGTTCTTCAAGGGCACTCTGGAAAACAACCTGAATCTGTGCAAACTCTACGACATCCTGATGACCTACTGCATGTACAATTTCGATCTAGGTCAGAGTTTACTCTTGAAACTAATCAACAAATGACAATCGAGCAGTTCAAAGGAAGGTCAACTAGATAAGAGAAACAATTTTCGCCCCAAATTGATCAAATGAAGGATTGCCTCGTTAAGTCGGTGCTGGTTTCGTATCTTTTTTCGTCGAATCTTACCCTGACGAAGTTTAAATGAAGAATCTGTTTCAACTTGTAGCTAATAATATATGAATAAGTTTGCTAAGTTCCAGTTTTAATTTAAGAAGGTTTATCCACAATATAAAGGACCAACATACAAGCTGTTTACAACTGTTATTGTGCCCCTGATTAAGATCTACATGCTATTGTTTTGGTTATTTTACGAGCTGGGTAATGTTGCGTTCACCCGCAAGCAACGAGCACGGTCCATGGTTGGCTTCAAAGTATCGACCTTTGGATTGAGAGGCGGAGACTTATTCACTTTACCACCGCTTTGCTTAATAATTCCATAAATCATGTTGATTGTTTTAGGGTATCTTCAGGGTATGTCTGACCTGCTGGCACCTCTGCTGATGATCCTCGAGGATGAAGTGGACACTTTTTGGTGCTTCACTGGACTCATGAAACTCACGGTTAGTAGTTACTTTTTCCCAATTGAACCATTTACCATGAACACAATTTAAAATCATATGTTAGCTACAGAACACAAGAGGAATGTTATTCTATATGGAAAATAATATCGTTCTTGAGTTTACTCCAAGTTGCTGTTATGAGTGAGCGGAAGTCAAAAACAGCGTTTAGATTCGGAATCCATAGTTGATCTTTACCGTTGCGATAAGCAAGGGATTTTCAACTGGTACTAGACTTTTTCCCGTAAATAACTTTGTTCACAGAATAGTCAAATGGTCAGTTTTATAACAGCTGGATCAATAGAATGGTTGGAGTGTATTAAATGCGTACGTACCGTTTTACGTAAAGAGTTGCAGGTGAACGTTAATATGTGCAAAGTATTTTTTTTTATCTGTGCCTTGCTAAAAGTTTGTTGCTTTGTTCCGTTTCTAAATTAAAATTGAAAGGTCTTGCTTTGCCTGTTTGCCTAGAATTGTCTTTATCGAAACGAACGAAAATTTTAAATTTTTTGTTTTCTAGCTTTTTTCTCTTGCAATAGTAAACAAGGGTATTGCCTCCCGGTACTAGGCTTTTTTCTCGTAAATAAATTTTTCACAGAAAGATAAATTTTTAGAAAGAAGTTTGAAATGGTAAATGTACAAATATGCAGATTAAATATGCGTACTTTTTTTTACTTGTATAGGGCTTGTATTGTAGCCGGTAGATGCAAATAATTTTGTATAATTTTTGAGAATATTGTGGCCTATTAAGTGTCGGCTTTAATTCAGCCGGTTTATTTATCGATGGTTTTTGTACCCTTGTCTATGTTTGCGTTCGACTTTTTTTGATATTCATTCAACTTTAACAAGGTATATTTGAAACTTCTCCGACCTTTTTTTTTGAAAAAGACTAGAAAAAAAAGGATTTTTTTTTCGAAATTTTCAAGTTTTTTACTCTTGCGATAAACAAGTGTATTGCAATCGGATACTAGACTTTTTTCCCGTAAATAACTTTGTTCATAGAATGGTCAAAATAAGAAATGGTAAGTTTAGGTCCAGGTCATAATAGATTCAATTTTTTGTGTCTCTGGCGCACTTGGTCTGGAGATAACGAATACGCCTGGGACGGTAAAGTTCCTGGGTTCGAATCTGACAGGGCCTGTTTTTTTTTAAATGGTTAATATTCCGTTTCAAAAAAATTTTGAACTTATGTTTTTTCGTCGTAGTTCTAACATCGTAGATTTTTTTGTTGTACCGAAGTTGCATTATTATTGTTCTAAGTGTTTTAATTTTTTTCTGCTGTTTGTTATTTCACTAGCTTTGACCTCGTATATTTTTTTTTCGCTGAAAAAGTTTCTTCGGTCCAAATGATTTCGTCTTATTTTTTATTGGCTTATTTTTGAGTTACTTTGTTATTTTAGTGGAAACGTAATTTCTATGAACCCCTCTAGATTGCACAAAATGCTAAAAAAAAATTCATAATAGAATTTCATGACAACCAATTTTTTTCGTTTTTTTTCCGCTTGATAGGTTTTTGGCTTTATTGAATCGGCTTAATGGCCTCATTTTGCGTCTATCGACGAGCGAAAAAAGTTTGGTTGTGTGTGTGTGTTTTGTGGATGATGGGGATTTAATATTTTTTTTTCGGCTTTGGTTTTTTTTAGTTTCCTTTTTCGGCTTACTAGGTTTCGGCCTATATTATATCGCCATAGTGGCCTAATAATTTTCCGTATGAGGAGTAAATATACTTTAATATGTTTGTGTGTTATGAGGGCGAGGGGGAATTATTCACTTTTAATAAGTTTTAAATCTTGTTGATTTTTTTTTGTCATAAAGGTCTTGTGGTAAGGCGTTTTCGGCTTTGTTACCGCTCGCTAAATTTTTTTCCGATGCGAATTTCTCATTCTATTGTTTTGGCATTTTTTTCAATACTGGCCCATTCATTTTGATAGATCTAGATTTTTTTTAGACTTCGATTTTTGCCGACTTAGCCGCCTTATTGTTTTGTATCGCTAGTGGGAAGCTCAACTTCGCCTCTCTGTGAAGTATCATTTCCGAGTTTTTTTTCTCTTTTCAAAATAAAGCCTTGTTTGGATGTTTTTCTCGCGACTTCTTGGGAGGCCTACTGTTCTTATCATATTCTTTTTAGCCTAGGTAATTGAACTCAGATTTTTCTCGCAATTTACTTGGTATAATTTTCAATCAGTTTTTTGGCAATTGATTTTTTTTTATTAATGAGCTTTCTAGCCTATTTGTTATGGTAGAACGGTTACTTCTTTTAGCCAGATACCCGGGTTTAGGAGGCCTTAAGAGCTATCAGATCTGTTTGCTTCTATTTACACTACCGAGCTTGTGAGAGTTGTGTATTACTATGAACATTCTTTTTTCCAACTAAGCTCGCAAATAAAAGTGCTCATTTGATGGCACTTTTCCTTTAATTTCGATCTGTAGATTTTGAAATTTCTTAGCATATGTTCTCTGCTTTATTTGCAGCTAGTGTTTGTGAATTGTTAAGCGTTCGTGTCTGAGTGGTTAGTGCGTGAGACTCATTATCTCTAGGTCGCATGATCGAATCCGACAGGTAGCCGAATTTTCACTTATTCAAGGCTAATTTCTACTTTTTCTTTGTTAACTTGATAGAGCTGATTTTTTACCGTGGTCTTACTAGTGTTTGCGAAGCTCAGCTTCGCTTCTGTGTGCACTTAATATTTTCCTCTCCTTCTGTATAGTGTTTTTTGCATTTGCAACTCAAGTGTAAGCAGGTTAATGTAATTAGGTGTTTTTGTTTTAATGCCTTCCTTTTAATAACATATATATTTTTAAGAAATACCGTTAAATAATACCCACCTAATAATACCTAACTTTTTGATAGCGGAACAGAAATGAAATAGACGAGTTGTATGCCAGCGTTTATCTTTTGGATAAGTTATTGCCTTAGTTTGTTTGAACTTTTCGTCTTAGCAACTTTTTGTCTGAACTTCTTGTCATATCTGAGAATTTTTGTTGCTTATCGTTTCAAATTACTGGCACATTGAGTTTTCGTTAAAAAAACGTAAGTTCCTCTACATTTCCTGCTTTTAAAAACTCCCACGTTTGGATTTTCTATGACCATTTATCCCGGTTTTGTCTGCATACTTCCTGCTCTTGGTATTTTTTTTGCTAGTTTATTTGAATTTTTAAACAGTTAGCCGAAACTATTGGAACAACCGGAATGACCAAAAAAAAGTTTTTTTTCTGTTTATCGTTTATTTAACTGAAATTTTTCTCGTCGGGGCAGTTTCTTAATGTGACATGAAATTACTGTTTTTTATTTGACAAAATTACAAATTTTTGGTAATTTCGGCTATTTTTTCTGTTGGAAAAGTTGACTGAAATGTTTGACCGTGTTGCTTGAATTTATTGGCTAATTTTAGCCAATCAGATTCGACCGCATAAATTTTTGCTAAAGAGTTAAAGCTAGTGACTTTGAGCCGTTTTGTGCACAAGAAACCTCAGATTCGCCTCTGTGTCCAAGTTATCCTTACTAAGACTCTTTAGAACTTATAAATAACTTAAGTCTGAGAAAACTAAGGCTCGTTGGAATTGTGGCCAAAGAGTTTCTTGATTTCTTTCAGGGCAACAATTTCGATATGGACGATGACAAAGGCATGAAGTTGCAATTGAGTCAACTGAAGTATCTGCTAAATCTACTTGACCCATCATTCTACGCATTCCTTGGTCAGTACAAATATTAACATCAGTTTTAGCCTTTATTCCTATTTGATAAAAACAGGTATTATGAAAATGCTATTGGGATCGGGCTTTTTTATTTATTTTTTTTGATACGCTTTGAAAATTATCGTTTTTCTCAAAAACTACTCAACGGATTTTCAAAAGAGTGGTACCAATGCAAGTCCGCTAGTCTCTCTTTTTTTTTACCTTACCCCACTTTCTACAGCCTTCGAAAAAGTGTGTGTGTGTGTGTGTGTGTGTGTGTGTGTGTGGGGGGGGGGGATTTTTGACCCATGGATTTTTTAAAACATTTTCTCGAAAACTATACGTCCAAGTTTTGGGTTCAACGGATAGAACAGATTGTGGTAAGCTCCCCTGCATAAGTGGCTATGCCCAAATTTTTTTACACAAAGTTATGGCCCCCAGAAAAGTCGAGTTTTTGATTTTTGACCATTTTTTGAAACTCTTAGACCACCTTCCCAAATCTGAGATTTTAGTTTCATTCGAACCGAGGAGTTGTGTGGAACTCCCTTGCGTTGAGGGTTACGCTCAAGTTTTTTCACGCAAAAAGTTATGACCCTCAGAAAAGTCAAGTTTTTGATTTTTTGATCGTTTTTTCAAACTTTTTGACTTTTCTCTAAAAGTACCCTCCCATATCTAAGGTTTTGGTTCAATGAGTAGAATGGGTTGTGTTCAGCTCCGCTGCCTTAACGAATACGCTTAAATTTGTTTACTCAAAAAGTTATGACCCTTGGAAAAGTCAAATTTGTTTTATTTTCTTACCGTTTTTTGAAACTTCTTGATTTCTCTCAAAATTTACCCAACCCAAATCTAATGAGCAACGTTTTAAGCATATTTCAACCTAACAAGCCCTTGTAATCATTTCAGTTTTAAGAAAACTGAAGTAATTGATAAAATTAACACAGATTTTGAAGTCATTAAATTGGGATTTACTTTTCTTTGCTATAGGTCTGTTTTTGAAATGACACTTGTCCGTCCGCATTATCAAAAATTATCAAACAAGTATTTCCAGCTTTAGCTGGCCTCTAGTAATGTCACGAATGTATACGAGGGGAGATTACTTGCAGGTTTGTTTACAAGTAGCATAAAATGTAATCAATGCAATATATATTTGTTTTTCTGTAGTTTTTTTTTAAAGGGGAAGGCATTGAATTAAGGTCTCAGCAATATGATGAAAAAATTTAATAATGTGTAAAGAACTAATATGATCAAATTTGAGACTAGTCCTTCTTTCCCACCACCTCAACTTAGCAATAAATTAGACTGTATAGCAAAAACGACAAAAAATCTTGGTTGGAATACATAAAAACTAGGAAGATAATTACGTGAGTGCATTGCTTCGAATGGTCTTGTTTCGTGATCTGCAGCTGTAAGTCAAATATAATCTATTTATAGATTGTCGAAATGGTAAAAGTAAAACATCTATTATGACTGGTTTCTTCTCTATTTGTACCAGAATTTTAGTGAATTAGAGTTTTTGTATGGTGTCAGATATTCTCGTTTCACGTTTAGAAATAAACTCTCGTCATGTTATAATCTTCTCATGATGTCCGGAATTAACTTGAATATAAAAGAAGACCGATAATTGAGTAAATATCCATTGAATAGTTCAATTCCGCGAATATTGCGTTATAAAAATGGAACATCTTATTTTCAGGCTAAAAACTTGTTTAACAGAATCACTGAATCATTTCGTGCCAACAGACACATAAATACTGATACCTGCTCGATTCGAAATTTTTTTGTTTGTTTTAACGCAACTCGGTTTTTATAATTTCCTTTTTGCTTTTTTTCCTCTGTGACTTTTTTTGGCTCAAAAATTGATATCTTAGTTTAATTTTTTGATTGAAATGAATCTCGTAAAAAAATTCAGCTCAATCATCTTTAGATTTTGATTATTGAGACACCTGTGAACGAATCTGTAGCTCCAATGGTGCTCTCCCAGGTAGTAAAAGTAAAATCGTGTTTGTAAATTTATTTAAATAACTACCCTCCCACCTTGTATTTGCCCGAAATCAGTTTTAATGATTATTTATTTAACTATCTATATCTATCTATCTATCTATATCTATCTATCTAAACTATATTTAAATGCGAGTGACAGCTATCTCCCATGTTTAAACATAATAATTTTGCATGTTTAACGAAAGAATTTTTTCATATTTAAGCTATATCATATATTGAAATGCTTAAGAAAATTTTTCAATTAGTTTTTCGCCAGGTCATTAGTTTTTCAGTATTTTTTTGGAGGCCAAATTAAGTATGTCTGTTTGTATACCTGCTTTTTAAATTAATTTGATTATGTCTGTCTACCCGTCGCCTAATTTTTTAACTTTCATCTATTTTCTATCTATTACCTATTATTATATATTTAAATGCGGGCTTCACTATCTCGCCATGTTTAAGCCTTTTCAACGTATTATTTTTGCATGTTTAACAAATGAATTTTTTCACGTTTAAGCAATATCGTATATTGCAATGGTTATGGTTTTTTTTTTTAATTTTTCCAGTTTAAATTCAGTGTTTATTACATCAAGTTTGAAAATAGCAACCCAATAGTAAGATATTGTCAGAGTTTTTCCAAGTTTTGCGATTCTGGCCTCCATATATGAATAACCAAATCATTTTAGTTTACGAGATTGGCAATTTTCGAGGTTTTTCAAAAAAATTCTAGAAAGTTTAATATTAAAAAATTTCTCAATTTTTGAAATTCTCGCCCTGTAGTTGGGTGCTGTCAGGGTACTCTCAGGAGTTGCGAATCTTGCCTCCATTTTTCACTTCTCAAATCCGTTTAGTTTTCGAGATATGACGTTTTTTCATGATTTTTTCAAAAAAATTTCAAAAACTGGTTTTAAAAATTCCAAAACGTTGATGATCTCAATCCTGTTGTTGGATATTGTGAGGGTACTCTCAGGGGTTTCGAATGTTGCCTTTGATTATGGCTGCTCAAATGCGCGTAGTTTTCGAGATACGGCGTTTTTTTGGAATTTTTCAGAAAACTTAGATATAAAAAATTAAACAAAACTTTAAATTACCATCACTGTAGTGAGGCTCTGTCAGGGTACCTTCAGGAGTTGCGAATTTCGCCGCCAAATATGACTGCTTAAATCCTTGCAGTTTTCGAGATATGACGTTTTTTATGATTTTCTTCAAAAAAAAACTTCAATGTTAAAAGTTCCAAAAGTTTGAAGAAATCAATCCTGTTATTGGAATCTTTGAGGGCACTCTCAGGGGGTTGCGAATCTTGCCTCTCAATAGGACTGCTCAAAATCTTGCAGTTTTCCAGATATGACGTGAAAATTAAATTGTTTTTTTTTTGAATGTTTGAAATTCCTAGCCTGCAGTTTGGGGGCTATCAGAGTAATTTCAGGGGTTGCAAGTTCGGCCTCCAATTAAGAATGCCCAAATCATTTTTGTTTAAGAGATAAGACAATTTTTGTGACATTTTTGGAAATTTTCAGAAAATTCAAATTACAGAATAATTCGTCAAAGTGAAATTCCCAACCCTGTAGTTGTGTACTTTCAAAGATTGCGAAAATTGCCATCAAAAGGACTGCTCAAATTTTCGTAGTTTTCGAAATGTGAATGTTTAAGAAAGTTTTAGAAAACTTAAGGTGAAATTTCTCAAAATCTGAATTTCCCAACGTTGTAGTTGGGTACTGTAAGGGTAATCTTAGGAGTTGCAAATCAAATCTTGCGTCGAAATGCGACTGTTCAATTGCTTTCAGTTTCCCAGATGTGACGTTTCTTAATTCATTATAAACTTCGATAAGAAAAAAAAATGTCAGTTTTTATGGTTTTTCAAAATTTGAATTAAAAAATCGAATGAAAATTTTTACAGAATTTGAAGCTACTCTCAGGAGTTGCAAATTTTGCATCCAAATCCGACTGTTCAATTTTTTTCAGTTTCCCAGATGTGACGTTTCTTAATTCATTATAAACTTAGATTTAAAAAAATGTCACAATTTTTTTTTGGTTTTTCAAAATTTGAATTAAAAAATCGAATGAAAAATTTTACAAAATTTGAAGCTACTCTCAGGAGTTGCAAATCTTGCATCCAAATCCGACTGTTCAATTGTTTTCAGTTTTCCAGATGTGACGTTTCTTAGTTTATTTTAAATTTTTCGAAGAACTTTTATAAAACTTCACAAAATTCTATGGTTCTTCAAAATTTGAATAAAAAACTTTGCAAAATTTTTAATTACGAACCCTGTAATTGGGTGCTCTCAGAGTACACTCAAAGAATAGTTTTTTGAGTTGTTGAAAATTCGAAGCGTTGGAGGTGCGGTACATGCTTGTTATTTTTTATTTTGCTTTTTTTCTCAGGAAAAGGTTTATATTTGTTCAGGAAAATTACTTTTTCGCGGTTCGAATTTGATTTTGTTTTAAGATCAGTTCATTTCCTTTGTTAAAAGAACGGAAAACTGCACTATCGAAAAGCGAAAGTGTAAAGGTCACGAAAAACGTGATTGACTTCTAGTTTCAAAAGTGGAATTTAATTTTCGAATTTCCCAGCGAAACAAAAATTTTACCTATTGATCCAGTTCGCTCAAGTTGGGTTAAGTTTATCAATAAAGTCAATCACAAAATGTTTTAGAAGTTCAAAGGGCTTTAAGGCCATTATTTTTTCTTTGAAATTCGAAAGTAAAGATTTTTTCAAAAATTAGGTCAGTATTTTTTCTTTTTACTTGCGTTCATTGACTCTTTTTTCAACTGTCTGTTGGTTATATTAATACAATTCGCATTATTTTTCGTCAGTTCTATTGAAGCGTTTTTTATGGTTGATGAATACAATTTGGAGAAAAATATTTTGAATACTAACTGCGAGCTATCATGAAGATTTTAATAAAACCCATGGCAACCCTGTTTCAGAGTCCAAAGAGAGTGGAAACCTCTACTTTTGTTTCCGCTGGCTCCTAGTCTGGTTCAAGAGGGAGTTCTCCTTTTCCCAGATATGTACCCTGTGGGAAGTGCTGTGGACTAAACTGCCCTGTCCCAATTTCCACCTGTTTGTGTGTCTGTCTATGCTCGACTTAGAGAAGGGACATATTATGGCGAAAAATCTGGAATTCACAGAGATACTGAAGGTATTCAAAAATGAGAAATTGTTTCACTTTCAATTACTTTTGAGAAATTCATTAAGATTTAAAAAATGCATGATCTCGCGAAGCTTTATGGTTCATACAACCTTCTTCATGGAAATTTTTTAACTTAAGCTCACAATAAACGTGGTGTGTTTCAGCATATAAATGAGTTGCAATTGAAAATGAATATAACGAAAGTACTGAAGAATGCAGAGGCAATATTCCTGCAAGTTAAGCAGATAGAGACGAAACTGCCCAAGAATATGAGACGCATTATCTCCTCAGATCCAGTAGAAGCCAAATCAGCCCAAAACGGATCAACAGGTAAAATAATTGGGTTTTATTCTACTTTTTATTATGTTATCTTTCCTTAAAAAAATTTGTTTTACCATGTCAAAGTTCGTTCACGTGGCTGAGTATAAAGGGGTATAATTCAATTAGTTAAATACCAAAGTGTTAAAAGCTTCCTATTTTGGGTCGAAAATTTGATAAATCATCGGAAGCGATAAGGTTCCAAATGTTATTTTTAAGACTATTTAATGTGCTCTAATTTTTCTGAAAATAAATAGTTTGGGTAAAACAAAAGTTAATCTAATGAAGTGTTGATGAACGTAGTGAAGACACGTAAAGAAGTCCTGTCGTTTTTTTAAAAGTCTTAAAAGTTGATCATACTAAGTTTTGACTTTGCGAATTTCACTTTTGATTTGTTCTTACGGTCAATTCAAATTCATTTGATAAAATGAAACAAATGATGCTATCCCACGAAGAAAGGATATGGCGCAAAAAGAACCGTGAATAACTTCTAGTTTTGAAAAAGTATTTTAATTAGTATGGTTCCCAGCATAATGAAAGAAATTAGTTATGGACCCAGATTCCTTTAATTGACTTAGTTTTATGTGAAAAGTACCGTACAAATAATAAAAGATTCTTAAAATATGAAGAGCTTTAAAGTTATGCATTTTTTTTTCGTAGAAATTGAAAGTTGAAAAAGGTTCAATAAATTGTCAGTAATTATCTGCTATTTCTGAGCTCAATGACACTTTTCCAACTCTATTGAATATGTTAAAGAGTTATGGAGTTAAAAAAAATTGTAGGAAATATCGGGTGGTGCAGTAGTAAGTTAGTCATTCTGGTGACCAAATTTTTTGCTGCTGCAGGTACAGACGACGAGGACATGGGCGAATTAATAGACAGTGTGGCGCCAGTGACGTCGTTGAATTGCAGTGTGAACTTCTCGGAGATGTACAAATCTGTTGTGAGTTCAACTTCACCATCTCTCATTGTTCCCCCCATTGAGACATCTACCGAAGAAGAACAAAATGGAGATGAAGAGCTGACTTTGTGATAAAACCCTAATGACTTGGCTCGAAAATATCTGACATATTTTCTATATATATATATACGCAGTAGATTAAGTTCACAATCAAACAGATTGGTTCCGAGCGAAAAGAATACTGGTTAAGTTGATTGAAAGAGGGATTTTGAATAGTACGAATGGTTTTGCAAAATATATAATTTACTTGGCAGGTGAAGCAGTAACAGTTTTCAGGAATAGTTTAGGAGAAGGTTTTAGTTTCAATTTTTTTCTTGAAATTCAATCTGAGGCGCCAAATAGCAATTGTACTTCTAGTGTGATAGCGAATTTGTTCTAATTAATTTCTATTTACTGAAAAAGAGATTCTAATTTAATTGTTTAGTTACAAACTATATAGTTTTGACGAAGATTTAATTCAGATTAAAATCTATGCGGTATCTTTTAATACAACAAAGTTGTTCTGAGAACAAGTCTAAAGCGAGTTATTTAGATTTTATTTAACAAGCCACTCAGCGTTGTGACATAGTGTTTTTTTGAGCGTTCGCATCAACCTTCGTCTGCTCGGTTTTTGAAAATTTTTTTCCAAAGTTTATTTAATAAATTGCTCTGACTTAAAATATTGCAGTTTTCAGAAGTAGCACCGATAGCGTTTGACTTGTAGTCTTAAAATGCTGTCAAGATTTCTCAAGCAGTCCAATTGCATGCTTTTGATGGAGAAAATTAATCTTATGAGGGCTGAAAATAGGATAAGTGTACTGAAAAGTGCTTTCATACAGCGCTTTATGCTCGACAACTATGTTAATGTCAGATCTTAATCAAATGTATCAGTTCTTTTGTAACACATGATTTGGCGTAAACATGAATTGAACGCAACCAAAATGGTTGTTGTTCTAAAATGGTTGTTGCGCAGAAGTAAAAGTTAGATTACGATCCAGTGCTAAGCATGCTATGTTTCTACCATTGAATAGCAGAGAATGTCAAGAATGTGATATTTTAGTTCAGGAGCTATCTTAGTCTGGGTTTCGGTTTTATTTACGCTTGCAATTAGCAAGCGTTATCAAACAGGAAAATCTACTTATTTCGGGTGAACTAGTTTAACAATCATTTGAACTTGAATCTTTTTACCTTTGGTTTATATGAAGTTAAAACTCAGACGTTAATTCGCGCATGTGGCGAAGAGCCAACGCACCAAAGTCAAAGGTCAATGGTTCGAATCCGGGCGACTTGTTTTTTATCTGAGTGGGGCGTAAAATTGCCCGCGCGTCAAAGAGTTTTCGTCCGTCGAACTTAGGTTGGTCTGCGTTTTTGGTCAGCTTTTTCCCGCTGTTCCAAATTTGCCTAGAGTTGAGACATTTTTTTCTCAAAATAATGAAAACATTTAAGTGTATTCCAGTTTTGGGCAAGTAATTGAGTTCCACGAAGTTGTGGTTCATTTCTTGTTTGTTTATTGAAAAAATTTAAGTTGTTTTCTTTAGAATTCAAGGCTGTGCATTTGGTGCAGTGGTAACACCCATGCTTGAGACGAAAAATCCCAGAATTTCGATTCCCGTCGCGACCAGTTTTTTTTCTAGAAACTGAAATTGTCCGACTATTCTAGGCTTTGTCTCTGGTAATTAAGGCTAATGAACGCAGTGAGTACTCTTATAAAGGTCTTGCTGATTTTTTTTTTTTTTTCGGGAAAATTTGTTCACGCTCAATTTTGATTTTTCGCGGTTTGACTTGTGATTTCTGTTCAAGTTCAGTGCATTTCTATTGTTAACAGGAAGGCAAAATCCGCCATCGAACAGCAAAAATGTAACAGTCACAAAAAAGTTGATCGACTTTGAATTTCGAAAATGGAAATTAATTATCAGATTTCCCAGCGAAATGAAAGTTTTGCCTATTGATCCAGTTTTCTGAAATTTGGTTAATTTTATCAAAACAGTGTCCATCATAAATTGTTGTACAAATTCAAAAAGTTTTAAGGCCATCTATTTTTTTTCTTCAAGTTTCAAAAAGTGAAAGTTTTTGAAAAAACGAGTCAGTTTTTTTCCAGTTTGTCTGCATTCATTACTTTTTTCAAACTGTCAGTTGGCTGTGTTTTAAAATTAGGTTCACTAAAGATTTCAATTATTTTTTGCGTTTCCGGCACACTTGGTCTATGTATTACGAGTACGCCTGGGACGGTAAAGCCCGTGGGTTCAAATTTGACCTCGAATTTTTTTTTTTCAAATTGGAAATATTCCTTTCCAAAAAATTGTTCCTCTATAGTTTGTCAGCTTAGTTGTCACATCGTAGAACTACTTTTTGTGCGTAATTTTTAATGTAATTGCTTCTAATGTTTTGAAAAACTCATGCAGTTTTTATTTTTTTAGCCTCGACTTCTTTTGTTTTTCTGTTTTTTTTTCACATAAAAAGTATTATCGGCTTATATGATGTCGGCCTATAGTTTATTGGCTTAATGACCTAATTTGGGGCCAGTTCAAGGACAGAATTGTTTTAAAAGTTTTATTCAGGATCTTACAAAATGCTGAATTTCTTAGAATAGAACTTGAAGGTCAAAGTTTTTCATGAAAAAAATACATCTTCGGTTCTACGTGAAACTTTAAGTTTCGTCGGCTCAGTTGCCGCTCGATAATTTTTTTTGAAATATCCTTCGTAGCTGTCGATTGTGTTTCTGGACGTGTTTTTCGCAAAGAGAACATGAGCAAAGAAAAATGCTCATTTGTTGTTAGTTTTAGTTTACTTCAATTTAATAATTTTAATGCCTTTATTCACATAAGAAATTCAATGGCAAATGCTGCTTTTATTTTTTTAGTGTCTATTTGTGTTTGAAAAAAAAGGTATTTTGAAAGTGTATGGGATTTGTTGTTTTCTGTACATCAATTTGAGATGTTTTGAAAAAAAATTGCACTTTTTGCAGAAACGTATTTTTTTTTCAAATGGAAAGCAGTAAAAAAAGGGAAATAGGGAAGACTGGATTACTCTCTAATGTGCCTGCAAACTTCGTTAGTTTCTTTTCAATTTACCCCACGTTCTACAGCCTTCAAAACTTTCAGTTGGAGGATTTTTGACCGCATTCTTTTGACCGAGTTTTGGGTATTTGACCAAGTTTTGTCAACTTCTCAAGTACTAACCGCACAAATCTGAGATTGAGGCTTCCAGAAAAAAAATCACGTGCATCTCCGCCCCTCATAAGCGGCTATTCACTTAATTAGGTTGATAAAAATTATGGCCTCAAAGAAGCCTATTTTTGACATTCTGTTTAATATTTATTTTTGTTTATTTTTCTTGAATTAATTGCCAAATGCCAAATCTGAAGAATTGCAAGATAAAGTGGTAAATTTTTGTTGCAAAAAGGCTACTCTATGTCCTTTTTTAGAACCCCTTTGAACGTTTTGGCTTTTCTCAAAAATTACCATGCGAAAACTGAGATTAAAGGGTTGAAAGACAAATACTAGTTATGTAAATCTTCTCTGTGAATCCAATCAAAAATCAAAAACCAGTTATGTGAATGCTTTCTGCGCAAGCAGTCACGCTTTAGGTTTTGAAAATAAAATAGAAAGTGTCCAATTTTTGGAAATTTGTCCGTTATTTTAGAAACATTTTTTTTTTAATTTTACAGCGCGATTCTGCAAATGATGGTGTCTTCTTGAAAACATGGTGCTTAGATCTTCCCTGCGTAAAATATTTTACCCTGTTTTGTTTTAGAAAAACCGGTATGGACTTCGGAAAATCTTTTTTTTCAAAATTTCCACCGTTTCTCTTAAATTTCTTCACTAATCTCGAAAACTACCTTTTTGAAAACTACTAGCTAAATTTGTAATTGAAGGATGAATTTAAAAACATCTCATGGCAGTTTGTTTCCTGCCTGAGAAGCTTGGGAAATGTTTTTATTTTTTGATTTCATTATAGAATTTTTTCACTTTTTTTCGACTCAGCCAAATGAATTTTATCAAGCTTGGCTTCTTGTCTGCGGAAAAAGCGTCGAGGAGCGTTCATGAATGAGTCTGCTTAAAAACCCTGGCACATTTTTAAGTGTAATGCGCGGGCGGTGAGGCATGTCAAAAATAATCCATATAGTTTGTTGTTTTGTCATCATGTTCGGGAGACGAATTGTCAAAAGATCGTCAAACCTGTTTGCTGGAAGGGAAATGGTTTGTAAGTTGTAAAGCTAAGCTCCAGTAGAGGTGCGAGCTCGTTTGAGTTCGCAACAATTTTTGTTTAGTTTTTCTGATTTGAGAAATGATGCAACTATAGCAAAATTCAAATTCAGAAATTTTTTGTATGCTGCCCAGATGAGTTCTGTTTGTTTGTAATATTGCTTTAACCGGAAGGTGTGTTGACGAATGTTCTTCATCTAAAATGATGGGTAGTTTGGTGTAAAAGTCAAAATTTGACTTTTGAATTTGTTCACGTGTCAGTAGAAGACCGTAGCTGTCAAGGAAGTGGTTAATTTTCGATGGCGGCTGCTTTGAGCGATATCCTGGTTCTTTATTATCACTGTCCTTGCTGCAGTTATATACTTGTGTAAAAGAAATTGATTTCCGTTGTAGGTTCTGATGATGGTCCTGTGCCTTGAAAAACGCTGCGAGCGTAAAACGTACGCTGCTTATTGCGTTAATCGATACCAAGAACAAAAACTTTGGTAAGCAACAAAATACTTGCTTGTTTTTGCCGCTGACGGTTGAAATGACCGTCAACTTGCTGTTGGGCGGTCGTCTTGTTCATTTTGTTGCTGTCATCGTTAGTTATGATGCTCATGTTTGTTTCATTGATACTGATTTCACTGTTGTCATCGGCATTGATGTACATTTCCAAACCGATGCTTTCAGTAGATAGTATTGATGAGTTTATGGGCTGAAGTCGCGTCCATTGCTGCTCGAAATGATGAATGAACTGTGGTCTTGTAATCATCTAAATTTTTTGTGGAGTTACACTGAGGGTATTGCCCTTGTTCCGTCGTCGGATGTTTTGAGCTGTCCTGGGCATGCCTTCATTGAGACAATGTAGTGTGCAATCCTAAAGTTCAGTAGTTCAAGAGCTCCAAAAAATTTCTGGCATTTAGTCGATCCTTGAATCCACTGAAGTGAGTTCGTGATATCTGTCCACAAATGAGTCTGGTCGATTCTGACTCGTGTATGATGATTGATGAATTTTGCTAAATGAGCTCTGAAAACTGTTTCTTGAAGCTTCGTTTTTGTGATGTTTTATTGCTTTAGTGGTTCTACCCCGGGTTTTTATTGATCAAAATTATTACAGTTTTAGGGATGTTACTGTGTATGAGGCCTTTAAGGAAAAAAATAGGTCGAAATTGTCGAGTTTTTAGAAATAGCTCAGGTACAGTAAAGGTAAGAAACTCTTTCATTCGTATATATGAAGAAACTCTCCGAAACGACAAA